ATATATATATATATATATATATATATATATATATATATATATATATATATATATAAATCTATATACATGCATATATAAAACATATTAATAGTTTTTGTTTAACAAATATTTTTTTACTTTTTTGCAGGATTTTCATTTACAACAATTAGAGCGTCATTTAACAAGAATAAATGGTGATCGAAGTAGTGAAGAACGACAACATCTTGAGAAACAGATTAAAGTATGGGTTTTTTTATAATTTTATAGGATATATTACAAAAATGATTTATATTTTTTTATTATTTGTTTATTTATTTATTATTATATTTAGTTGTTTGCTACATAAGTAATAAGTAATCTTAAATATCAAAAATATCCAATAAAAACTTAAAGTGAAAAATTTGCGAAAGTTATTTTTTTTAAATAAATTAAAAATACATGAACGATCTTTTTCTTTCAACATAAAATTTTATTCATAAAGATGTCATTATGGATGGAATCATACATATGTTTGCTTAAATCATGTTCACTATTTTGTAATATTGTTAGACATTTTTTAAAATTGCAGTATTTTTTACAAAAATCCCTTGTAATCCATTTATTGTATCACTATCTTGGATATCACAAAATGGGATCAAAAAGAAAAGTTAATTATGTTAAAAATATTTAACATAATATACTATTTCATCTGGTTGTAATGTCTTTTTTGAAATTATGTATATCTATTTTTTATGTTAGTTCGCCTCTTCAAGGCCAAGAAGGCCACTACAGTTGAGGAGGCTACTATAATTGTGGTTACAACTCTCTCTCTAAACTCTATAACTCCAAAACACAAACCTTGACAAACAAGGTCGCTGCGCGGAGAAACCAATTGAGCATGGTACTACTAGGAATGTGGTAGGGATCGAACTTGGAACTTCTTGCTTATGAGGCAAGTGCTCTACCACTACACCACTACCGCATGATGATGATACCACTGATGACTGTATTGTAATTCTCTACTAAATATGTTTTTACTTAGCAGGGTGTCTGCCAGATCAGGGTAATTAGGGAAATCAGGGAAAAGTCAGGGAATTTAGGTGTCTTCAAAAAAATCAGGGGAAAATTAGGTCAAATTTTAGAAAAATTAGGGAAAAATCATAGTTTTTATTACTTATTTTAGAAGCTCTTTGATTATGATTCTTTTTTTTTTAAACACTCAGTTTAACTCTAAGAGAAGCAGTTATTTTTTTTGAGCTTGATTAATAGCTAGCTTTTACTAACTAACTAGTAGCTAACTATTTGATGTTATTAGTCAGTTGTTTTTATTTTCTTTAGACTGAACAAGTTTAAGTAAATTAAATAATGAACTCAACATATTATGATGTTCAGTGGTTTCAAATACCAGAATATAAAACTTAGTTAATGTGTGGGGATTTAAATATCTCAGCAAAATTTAGAGTTTGTCCACATCCATGAAATATAATTGAACTGTCTAATATGGACCAGAGGCGTTAAAAAGTCATTCAACAGAAAATAAGTATTGTGAATGTTTGTCTCCTCTTAAAAACAATACATACACCATTTACCAATGTGTTAAAAAATATACATGTTTACATGTTGTAACAACTACTTTGTCAGAAAACACAATTCAAGTCTCCACTTTTCAGTTGTATGTTGTATCAGATTCGGTTATTGATGCAGAGATCAGATGGGCACCTTAAAATGTTTTGTCAACATTTTCTTTTCGAACCAGTGATAGACTTTCGATTTTGTTTAAATCAACGTTTCCTGAGTGCTCATATTATATAAATTTTGCATTAGCTCCTCATTTTCAATCAGTTCTTATTAGAGAGCCTTCTACTCTAATTTACAAAACTATCGTGCTAAAAATGACATTAACAAACTAATTTCAACTGGATCTTGTGGTCTTTATTTGATTCATCTATCATTCAAAACTGGAAAAAACAGAACAGACTGGGGTATTGAGGAGATTTTAAAAGCTCTTTTTAAACCTTTCCATGATTCTCCTGCTAGACAGGAAGACTTTACTGTTGTGACTGAAAGTAATTAATTTTCTCTTTCTTTTTGTGGTACTCGATGGGTTGATGATGAAAAGGTGGCTTTAAGAGCTGTTAGTAATTGGGAGATGTAGGTTTGTAAAATATGTAGGTTTTGGGAATCTCTACCAAAGAGTAAGTTGCAATTGTGCAAGAGCTACCAAATTATTTTATCTGCTACTAATGATCCTCTAATTTTAGCAAAATTTTATTTCTTTGCTCATATAGCTCATATTATGCTCATCTTTTTAAACCATATAACAATATGCTAAACCTATGATACCATTTTTATATGACAACCTTTATTGATTATTAAAAGACATAATGTCAATGTTTATTATAGCTGATATTTTAGATCAATTCAAAACTGCAAATAGCCTCTGCAAATTGGATTTTGCAAAAGAAAAAAACTATTTAAAAAAGCCAGATATTGGATGTGGTGCCAGCACTGTTATAAAGAATAAAAAAACAAATGATAAAATCACTCCAAAAGATATTTATGCTTTCAATTACAGTTGCATATGTTTTCTACAGTCGTTGACATGTATGTTGGTGGAAAAATCGCCTTTAAAATATGTCATTGTGCAAAATGTAAAATGTTTTGACCCAGAAATAATGTGCAATTAAAAAAATGGGTTTCCCCAAAAGGTGGGGATGAGGTAAATACCGAATTCAAGAGATATTTAAAAAAGATTGTCTCTAAATACAAGGAACTTTTTGTGAATTTCAACAAAATAGATGATAGATTGGATGAGTTCTTTTTTTTAAAAGTTGATGGTTTAGATGATTATCCGGCACTGTCCAAATTAATCAAAAGGGTTTTGACTCTTTTTCATGATCTAGCAGCGGTTGAAAGAGGGTTTAACATAAACAAGATTATGTTACAACCTAATTTAATGAGTAAATTATTAATAAGCGAGAAAATTGTGTATGACCATATGAAAGCTCTTGATTTAAACCCGGAATCTATAGTTATCTCTAAGGAACTGAAAGAATCTGTCAAAAAATCACGGAGTCAACAAAAGATTGAAATAGTTGCTTGAAAAGAAACTGAGCTTACACATGCTCAAAAGTGAAAAAGTAACTTACTTGCTATAGACATAAAAGACTTACAATCTAAAAAGGTTATTCTGGAAAAAATAAAAATAAAAACATTAAAAAGGGATTCAGGAGCAATTCTTGTGAAAGCTGCAAATGATGCTGAAAAAGCTCATACTTATGCTATTGAAGCAAAAATTATTCTTTAAGAGAGGAAAGAGAAGAAAGATGAGATTAAAAAATTAGATGAATCAATTGATTTATTATTTAAGAAAAGTAAAGAACTTTGTAATTTAAAATATTAGTTTATTATTATTTATATACAGTAAAATCAAAATTTATATAGGTATTTAAAAGATATTTAAAAGTATATTATATAAGTTATTATTTATTTTTGAAAAGATTTTGAATATTTAAGTGGCAATACTTTCAGTATTTTTAACAAAAAATAAAATTTTTGTTTAAACCTTTATCATTCTTTCAGTATTATTTTTTCTGAACCATTTGGTGTATGTCTATTTTTCATCTTTTAAATATATGTTGATTTTAGCTTTATATTTTACTTTTACATTACTTGTGTAATTCACTTTATTTTGTTCTGAATGCTATTTATAGAGTCAATAAAAACAGCATTTTTATATTTTACTTTGATTAAATTTTAAATGTACTTTAATAACAATAGTAACAATGACAACATACTAAGAATACTTTGATAAATGTAATAATGATGCTTTATTTTGAACTGTACATGATTTTTCCATGTATTATTTCCAAATCCTTTTTAAGTCTGGAAAAGCTCATAATAACTGAAATCAATATCTGGAAAAAGAGGTCGACAATTAGGGAAAAGAGTTCCACAATCAAGGAAAAATTAGGGAAAAGTCAAGGAAATCCACCTTAAGATTTCGGCAGACACCCTGCTTAGATGTGTAGTTACTTTTCATTTATCTAGAATCTTGTACTTCAATGTTACTTCAATATATTGCTCTGAACCCCAGCTCCAAAATATAAAATTTTAAAAGTTTATATGAGTTTTTATAATACTTTATATAGTTTAAATATTTTTGTTTGTATTATTTTATAATTATATTATTTTATAATTATATTTTATAAATATATTCTTGTGAGAAATAGCTACATCATTTAAACTAAAGTTTTATTTTTTTGGTAAAATATTCTGGTAAAAATATGATAATATGGTAATACATTTTTAGGATACAAATAGTTTGTTAAATGGAGTTATTAATTCAAACATTTAATTTTTTTCTGCCTAAAAATTTTAAAATCACTATTTATTGACTTTGTTTTTTATAATTTTTGAAAAATATTTTAGCTTTTAAATTCTTTTTTTTTTGAATTCATAACGACTTATTATACAATACTTTTAATTATGCAATGTAACAGCATTTACAGGGTTTTCCACCTAATTTTGACATTGTTTGATTCAGTTTTGACATTGTATCAGTACATTTTGACAATGTTGCATTTAACTTTAACCGTATTCCATTTTATTTCAATTGTGTTGCATTCAATTTTATCGGCGCTAAGAATACTTTAACTAAAATAAAATAAAACAGTTAAATTTTTTTCTAAATTCATTAAGATAATATAAATATTTAGGTTTTTATGCAAAATAAGATTTAAAAAAAAGTTATCAAGTTAAAATTATTGTAATAGCAAGTAATTACCTTGATTTTCAAATTATTTTATAAATCACTTCATCCAGGAGATAATAAACAAAGTGTACCACTTGCTCTTGCAATATTTGATCCTTCAACTTTTGCATCTGTTGAAAGTTATTTTCCAGATAGGACTGATGCCTCAAGCTTTTTAAAGTTGATAAATATATGGTGGACAATAAGTAACAGAAAGCAAATATATAACAACAATTTTTGTATTGGAAATGCAGCTGTTATGGGTGACACGAAACCTTTATTTTTGAGGAAACTAGCCATATGGATTGAGAATTGGCAATTATCTCAAATTTCAAACTCTCAAAAGTTTATATTAAGTAAACAAACATCAGAAGCGTGAAGGACCACTTTAAGATGCCCAGCTTCACTTATTGATGATTTAGTTCAAGAAGGGTATCATTATTTTTTAGTATCAAGCTTGCAAACTGATCCATTAGAACTATGATTTTCAAAGTATCGTCAAATGAGTGGTGGCAGATTTTTAATTGGTTTGCGTGAGCTTGAGACATCTGAGTGCATATTAGCTTTGAAAACTTTACTTAAAGAGTCAGTCAATATCTGGAGGAGGAAGATGTTAGAAAAGAGAGTTGTAATATATCTTGAATTATTTAATGATAAATTGCTAGAAATTTTACCAGATATTGAAGAACGCAGTTTAGATTCAGAGAGCTTTGAAGTTGCTACAGTTATTTCTGGTTATGTTGTTAAAAAGTTTAATAAAAAGATCAAATGTAAACTCTTCCTTTATTGTTAGGTTTTTGTTTATCATTTTATATATCTTGTTAACATTATTGAGATTTTATTATGAGAAATATATATGTGTGTATATATATGTATATATATATATATATGTATATATATATAAATATATATATATATATATATATATATATATATATATATATATATATATATATATATATATATATATATATATATATATATATATATATATATATATATATATATATATATATATATATATATATATATATATGTATATATATATATATACATATATATATATATATGTATACAATATGAGGTTTATCTTTAAATTAATAAAGTCATTACAAATATAAATATTTTATTATTAATAAAATTATTACAATTTTATATTGATGAACAAAGTACAATATAATATTCTCTTATTCTTAAGTTTTTAGAAACATTAATATCAGGAAAATGCCTAATTTTTGAGACTTAAGTTATATTTGTCCAACAAATTTTATATTATATACACACTTCTGTAAACAAAAATCCGTATAAAGATTTTAATTTTAATTGCGGTAAGTGTGGCCAATCATGCTATGCAATATATTTATGTTTTGAAAAGTTACCCTTCTAATTTTTCGCTGCGAAAAGCAAGATATCCGGCCGTGTAATTATAGTAGGCCATGAATGTTCATATTTCTTTCTACATAAATAGCTATTTCATCAATATTGTCTTCAGAATTTCTTTCTGGAATATTGTAAACTTATTTGAATATTGTTTTAAAGTATAATTAAAGCTATGAATACATCTTGAACACAGTACAATATGTACAATACTATGAATACATCTTGTTATAGTAGAACTGAAAATGGCTAGAACTGTCTATTGATATATATATATAGTACTATTGATATATATATATAGTAGACTAGAACTGAAATGATTTTTTTTTTCAAGTCTTTGTTTGATTTCATTAGTTAGTTATTCCACAATCATCATAAATTCAATTTTAATTAGTATCTTGGATTTGTCAGTTTCATTTTTTTTTCATTTTTGTTTCTAGAACCGCTTTTTAATTGCTGTACTATCTGTAAATATATTTTTCAATAGTTAAAAAGTATAAAAATGATTTAGTTTAAGTTCAAAAAATTTTGTAATTTATGATGCTCAGTTTCCAATTAAATAAAATTTAATTATCCTAAATTTTCATTGTTGATTGTTTGATTTGGTATTACTGTTTATTAATATTGGAAAAGGTATTTAATTTTTTATTATGAACACCGATTATATTGTTGCAATAAAGGGACCAGGGGTGTGGAGTTGTAAAAAAAAAGTGATGACTTCGACTCCAAATCCAGTTGTTGAAATTTTTTAAGTACAACTCCCACTCCTACTCCAACTCCAAAGAATTTTTTTTTAATATTTTTAAAAGAATTTTTTGAATTCTCTTAAAAATATTGTGGGATAAGTTGAAATTTTTTTTTTGACAAATTTATGAAACATTTTTTGAGGTTAAGTATGAGCATAAGGTTAATTGGATGTTTTGTACATGCACGTGCAATACCAAGAAATTTTACTATCGGAGTCGGAGTTGCGATATTTTTTAGCGACTCCTACTCCACTAAAATTGTCGCAACTCCACAACTCCGACTCCACATCCCTGAAAGGGACAAATATTTTGTAAAATAAGAATATTTTTATTTTCTATATAAAAATTATGGTATTAATTTAAAGTTTGATGACAATTCATTATCATTGGAATATTAAAAATGTGGATAGTGTCTGTGACAATTAAAAATAATTAATCTGGTTAATAAAAATAATTAACATGGTAATTAAAATAATTATTATGGTAACTTGAAGTAATTAATAACCACATGATTTATTTTACATATATTTTATGTATATCCAAAAAAAATTTTTTAAAACAATATTCTTAATTTCAGTATCCACTTTAAATATTTTAGATTTAAAAAATAGCTTCATTAATTATTTTTTGCCTATTTAATAAAAATTTTCATTAGAAATATAAACATTTTTATTCAAAATAAATAGTTTTTAACTTGCCAAAATAATGCAACAGTGTCAACATTAAATGCAACAGTGTCAAAATGTACTGATACAAAGTCAAAATTAAATAATACAATGTCAAAATGAGGTGGGAAATTCTGTAAGTTAAGTTACATAATGATAAAAACCACTTAATCAAGTTTAATGCTGATAGAAACCATTATGTTTTATTGCTGATAGAAACCAGTACTTTTTATTGCTGATAGAAATCAGTTGTTTTTATTATGCAATGTTACATTTAAGTTTAAATTTAACATTTAAATTTAATTAATAAATTATTTATTTTTCACTAAATTAGTAATTTAACTTACTAATTTAAATTACTTGAAAAATGTCAAACACATGAAAAATGATTTTTTAATACTATTTTTTTAGTTATTTTTATTTATTTCTTAACATGTTTTGTTATGAAAAAAGTCATTTATATATTCAAACATTATACAATTAAGTTTTGAATTTTATATCATATTTTGATTATATATTGTACATGAATTATTAAAATAAAAAAAATATTAAAACCTGTACTATTCCTAATGTGTCTGCAAAAATTATCAATATTTTGAAATCTAATAACTAAACTTCAAGAAAGTACTTGGTTTCTATTTCAAATAAATTAAATTGGGTAAAACAAACGCTTTATATAAATTCTAAATAAAATAATTGCGGGTCTGAGTGTTTTCCAGAGCTTTTAAATAGAACAACCACAGATTTTCCAAGAGGCAGGAAAACAAGATTAAGTTATACATTTAATAAATAGTTAAAAGAGAGTTCTAAAGAACACTTTTGTAAGACTATGAAAAGAATATTGTCTTTACCATGAGCAGGAGATGAGTTTAAGATATAAATGAAAGCCAGACTGATTTGGATGTCTAATAATGGATTAACCTGATCAACTCATTTCACTATCATGGAGGCACAAGCAAAATCCCATGAAAAAAGTCAAGAAGATCCAGCATTCATCACCTAGGCAGGAAAGAATGTAACACACCTTTACAGTTTTGATCAACAGAATTTTTACACTTACAGCTAATGTCTTCATCTAGAATGCCATCTACAAGATAGTAGCTGAATGCAGTTAACATCTTCCCCATATAGTTATTTAAATTGAGACACTATTTTTAGCTTTTACTCAATCAAGAGCCCCAAGACAGTGGTGGATAAAGTCAGAGTTTACTTCTCTTAGCCTTTGCCTACAAAAGCAAATCTTACAAAGCAGCAGGACATGTAGCAGGTTGTACTGGGTTATATGTTACCAGGGGCAGTGTGGTTATAATGATCCTGAACCTGAACTGACCTGATTATTACTAATCCTGAGTATTACTAACAAGCTGTCATCATGGTATAGCCCTATAAAGAGGTGCATAAAGTGTGAATAAAAAAAAAAATTAATAACAAAAATGAACTAAAAACATATTAACTTTAATTACTAAACAAATCCAAAAGAAAAATATAAACTGTAAATATAAAATACAAAAATACAAATATAAACTGTACCTTCTGCTTTACAAATGGTAGTAAAATTATTTTTTTATTACTTGCCTTTAGTAATAAATAAAACTTGTTTTGTTCTTTTAATAGGAACTATCTGATATATTAGAAAGTTATCAAGCAAAACATTCTATATTAACTATTCAACTAAAAAAATTAAGCGATGATTTACGAAGAGCTAACAGAGATTTTATAAAAATTGTAGAAGAAGATAATAGTTTAGATGTTAAAATTGGTAAGTCATTAGCATTCAAAATGAAAAAAAAAAAATTTTGAGATTTAAAAACTGAACAATGTTATGTAATATTAAATTTATGAATATTTCTGGTAATTTTGTGCTAATTTTGGGTGAGTTAAGCTTGCATAATTTTATATGATATTTTAGGTGAATTAACCTTGCATAATGAAAGTTCTGAACTTGAACTTAAAAAATTAATAAAGTGCAAAGAAGAACTTATGGTGGAAAAAAATATTTTAAAATTAGACATAAAGCGACTTCGGGAACAATTGCACAACAAAACTAATGAGGTTTTAACCCTTGAAGATTTTCGATTGATGTTAGATGCATCCATGAAAGAGCGTTGTCAAGATATCTACACTAGTAATGATATTCTTAAAGCACAAATTAAGTTTGAAGAAGAAGACAGAAAGAAAATAAGGTACATAATTTAAATATAAGATAGTTTACTGAGAAAAAATTAGAGAGGAAAAAAAGTATTTTGTAAATATAAATTTTTTTATATAAATTTTTTTTTTAAAGTGGAAATTTTCTTTAGTTGTGAGTTACACGAGTGCATTTCAAAAATTGAAATATTGAGAAAAAGATACGAAATTTTAACAGTATCAATTATTCCACCAGATGGTGAGGAGAATTCTCAAGCTTATTATGTCATCAAAGCTGCTCAAGAGAAAGAAGAATTACAAAAGACTGGTGATGAGTTGGATGCAAAAGTAAGAAAAGCTGAAAAAGAAATAAGGTTTTTGAATATTTAAATATTTTATATTAAATAAATAATATTTTTAATCAAGTTTTAAATAACTTTTTAATAGTTAGAAGTTTGAAAAGTTATATACAATATTTTTATAAATAACATTTATTATTTCTTATTTTTTTAAGCTTCTTAATTTAATGAACTTTCTTAACTAGCGTCCTTTGCAAAAAAATTTAATTATTTATTTACATTATTTACATTAGATTCATTTTTAATTTTAATAATAAATTCTGTAAGAGATTTGTATGTTTATTTATGTAATTTTTTTTTTTTTTTTTTTTATTTAGCTCAATGCTCTTGTGTACCTAAAAATAAAAAATAAATTATAGTTTAAATGTTTTGTTTATAACTTAAATCTAAAAATTAGTTTTTAATTCAAATGTTAAAATTTAATTATTTTCATTTTTTTTAAAAAGATGGATCTAATAAACAATTAAATATAAGTGTTCCCCTAAACTTATATTTGGAAAAAAGTTGAATTGGAAAAGAGAAGCATAATTTACTTTCTTTTTTTCATTCACTTTTTTTTTTTTAATTAAAAAAAGGAAAAAATGATTTCATTGAATTCATTTGGAGAAAAACACAATCAAAAAAATATATATCTACATATCTACATGTATTTAAGTTTAAATTATTTATTGAAAACTTTAGAATTAAAAAAATCTGGTGTAAGATAAAATGTATTTTTAATGGTAACCAAGCATTACAGGATAATCTAACATTTTCAGGATGATAGAAATTTATGGAAAAATCATTCAAAATGGAAATTTAAAATAAATGAAAAAATCTTAAAAAATTAATCGTTACAGCAAGCTATTATAATTAATGACTTCAAAAAAACAAGTTTATTAAGAAATTAAGTTTTATTTGTTTATTACTTCATGTTTTATATTTTACAGTGCTGTATTATTTACCATTCTATGAAGGTAAAATAAAAGGTTTATTGTTGTAATTTTTCATAATTGTACATGTACACCCCAGATAACACACTAGCTTTGGCTTAACATTTGCATGATGTCCTCATTAAATCAGCTACTGATTAATAATTTTGATGTATTTTTGATAGTCTTTTACTTATTGGCAGGATGTTAATAAAAATATAAAAGTGACATGCAAAGTCTGCAATATATATATATATATATATATATATATATATATATATATATATATATATATATATATATATATATATATATATATATATATATATATATATATATGCGCGCAATTTCAAGTCTTTATATGACCACGCAAATAATATTTTGTTTTGAAAATTTAACAATGGCTTTTAACAACTTTGACATGTTTATCTTTATTAATGTTTTTATGTGAGCAAAATACTTTTAAATAAAGTAGCTAATAATTTTAATTAAAGTATCATTGAAAGTTGTATAAATTTTTATTCATATTGTTTTTTATTATTATTTAATTTTTAGTATTTTTATTATTTATTTTTTAGTAGTTTAATTTAAAGTATATAAGATTTATTTATAAGTAAAATAAAAAAAAAAAGTAATAAAAAAAAGTTTAAATTTATAAGCGATGACTTTAAACAGCGATGGTAATAATAAACTTTACATAAAAATCATTAATGTTAATTCACTCGAAAAGTTGGAGGATTTTGTTAAGAAGAAACAAAAAGACTAACTTCTTTGAAAGCCTTTTGAATTAAATAACTTTGATTTTTACTTATGTATTTATATTATTGAAACACATTTAAATAAAGTAAGAAATCACTGCTTGTGGTTTTTTATAAAAATAATAATGAATAATCTATAAATTTTCTATATTTATATAAGTAGGTATTTTTTATTATAAATGTCTTTAAATATAAAATTATATCAATTTTTTAAATTTAATTAATTTTTCTTTTATTTATGTTACTGCGAAGAATTGTTAAGAACCTTTTTTTAAACATTTATTAAACAATTTTAAGTGCATTTATAAAACAATTGTTAGATGTAAGTTGTTACTTTTGTTACTTTGTAAAGAGTTTTGCATAATATTATAAAAACATTAGTAAAGATTAATGATTCAAAGTTATTTATTCTAAAGGTAGTTTAGATAATTTTATCGTTATAGTTTATTATTTATTTTAGTTAAGTTTTCATTTTTATTTTTTTTATTTTAGTTATAGTTATTTTTTTTTACAAAGGTTTATTTGCTTTTTTTACGATAAGTTTTTTTTTAAGTTTCTTCATAGTTAAGATAATTTTTTCAGCGCGTTTTCAAAATGCATACAAATTTTCTAAACATATCCTTGCAGTCAGAAAGTCACATGATTGTGCGAAATTAAAATGGTATGAATAGTTACCATCTTGGATGGGGGAAAACTAAGTTGGAAATCTAATGTTAACTTTAAAGTTTTAAAAAAGATATGTCAATTTATGAATGTTTTGAAAAATTAGATTTTAACGCCGCAGAAATATACAAAAACAAACTTATGATCCTTGGAATTAATTAATGTCCCTACAAGTTTCCTGCAGATGCTTGAAAAGATGACTAAACAGAATGGCCATCTGTTCATTACTTTGATGTATATCATTATTTAATAAAAAGTCCTAAAATATTTTCTCCTGAGGCTATGGATAACTACAAAGCATTAGATGCTTATAAGTATTTTGTCTCTGGTTGGGTGCAAAAAGTTTTACATATGACATTGAGCTCAGGTTTTGTTGTTTTTAAATCAGAAGTTAGACCATCTTACAGAATAAATGACCCAACTCACACACCATGGATTGCTGTTAACAACAAAAGATCAACCATCTTAAGTTACTGTAACTGCATGGCAGGGTGAGTTAATTTTTTTTTTTACTTTTCCCCATACAATTTTGTAGTCTTATGTAGGATTATGTAGGTTAAAGTTATACATAATAACTAATGTGTATGTGGTATGTAAGTGCTAGACAAAATAATTTAATTTGTAACCGCCCTGAGATGAACTTAAAAAAAGGAACAATATGAAAAAGATATATTTCAGGTATATATTTCTTATTTTTTTATAGACTTGATGAAACCTACTCTCATATTACAGCCGTTTTATATAAATTAGAAGCAGCAGTTCGTTTGGGTTTGACGTCGAAATCTTGCGCAGATTTCCCTTGTAAATGGAATCAAAATTTTACAAAAGATGTTAATCTTGCTACAATTTCTGAGATTATATTTCACAGTGCTGATGCAAAAAAAAATATATGATCAAACATAACAACTACATTATCAACTGTAAGAGTGAACAGTTTCTTTTTTTAGCCGTTATTTAATATCTAGTAAATGAGATGAAAATTTGTAAAATCCATAATTACTTAAATTTAATTTTGTTGACATCATCTTTTGACATTTTTTTAAATTTTTTGTATCAGCTTAAGTAAAACATTTAACTTCACATAATTTAAAATGGTTCAGTAAAATTAGCTTTTAATCTGTAAATATAACCTTAAAAAATAAAAAGTATTTTTCCTTAACAGCTAAATGAAGAACATCAGCCTTTTGTCTCTTTTCAAGTTTATGAGCCAGCCAGTTTGCCAAAAACACTAAAGTGTCTGTATCTCCCATCAAAAGTACTGCATTGAGAATTTGTAGGATTTTTTTTCTGGAATCTAGTTGTTTATGAGAGCAATTTTGCAGTGTAAAATAAAACAATTTTAATTTCAAGTTTCATATATGCTAACCTCAATAAGGAAAATTTATCAATTGAAGCAGAGAAACTTTTTAACTCGTTATCAATTACCACACAAAAACTTAAATACCTGGAGGAAGTAACTAGAAATCAGTCGTCTTCCATTTCTTGGTATAAACACAGGTGTGGTTGTATAACTGGGTCTGTTATGCATGATGTTTTGAAAGCTTATAAAACCAAGTTTTTGTAAAAGCAATACACCTTTATTATTATGGGGATGTGAAAATGAAGAATTTGCATTAGCTGAGTATGTAAATATCAGTTTTGATGACACATATATGAGTGAGTCCCTTTGCCTGAAAATTTTTATGTAAAAAAATGCAAAAACGGCTTCATGTTGGAAAGAACACATCCATATTTTAGTCAGGTACAGCATGGAATGTTCATATTGGACAAGTGTTACTGTGATTTTGTTGTCCTGACTAAAAATGATTTTTTATTTTTTTGAATTGAATGTGATTCTGATTTTGTGAATGAGATGATCTCCAAAAGTAAAAAGTTCTGGAAAAATATGATCCTACCAGAACTAATGACAAGGAAGTTGGAAATCACAGATGTTAAAACTGTTGAACACCAAAAACAAAGAGAAGTATTTTGCATTTGCAAAAAATCCAACAGTGATTGGGGTATGGTAGGTTGTGATTGTTGTGATCAATGGTTTCATCCAATCTGCCTGAAACTAAAAAAATTGTCAAAAACAAAGGTCTGGTATTGTCGGACCTGTTAACCGAAAAAATAATATTTTATGTATATATTTTTTTGTTTTGTTTCTTTTAAATGACTATATAAATATTTTTTTTATAATAGTAAGAAAACTATTTTTAAATGTAAGGCTTGAAAGTCTTTGACAAATCAACTTAATACAATCAATAATAACTTTTATTTTAGAATATGTATCTTCGAAACATTACGGCATGTTAAGTTTTTGGTGATTTAAATTAGGACAAAATAGTATTTTACCAAGTTTTAAGTATATCAAATTTTGATATACTTAAAACTTGGTAAAATACTATTTTGTCAAGTTTTAAGTAGATTTTGGTGTCTTAGTAACCATGAAGTAAAATTTAAATAAAAAAAAGTCTAAACCATGTTAAAAACATGAATAGTTGGTCATTCGATTTTATTTATGAATAGTTGGTCATTCGATTTTAACAGTTTTATGCTGTTTCACAACATTATATAAAGACTTTATCTTATTTAATTTGTGATTTTTATAGCTTATCATAATAAAATTTAAGCTTTTTTAAGTTTTTTTAGTTAGTTAAAATAGTTTTCAGTATTTGTTAAATTTTCAATTTTGAAATTGCAT